GTTGCCCAGTTGCCGCCCCTCCAATCAAACCACAACCCAAGAACACAACTCCCCGTTCTCGCACTCAAGTCTGACAGCCTTGCTCCGGTCGTTGGCACCAGACTCCCGAAGCTGATGTTGCAGCCACACCAACAGGGGACAAAAGCATCACCGAAATTATGTCCAGTAGATTCCCTTTAAAAGCAAAAATGTACCCAACATGGCCCCTAGGTAAACTTGGTTGATGTTGGAAGGGAGCAACAAAATACATTTTAGCAGTTAAGTGGGGATTTCTCACTAAACCACAATAAGCAAAAATGTAAAAGGTTTCCCAACAACAACCATGTTTCCCAACATGGCACCTGTGGGGAGGTACCTGGAAGATTAATTTCCATTTGAAAAAAAACCTCAGTTGCCATGTTTGTGCGAGGGGTGCCCAACATGGCCCCTGTGGATGGACGAAATCCATTTCGCACCACTTAAGAAATTCCTGAAGAATTATTCCCCTGTACATACAGTACATACCAACTAAGAGTGGCTTCACGTGGATTCAAGGTGGCGCGAACGGTTTTCGTCCATCCACAGTATATGAATCAACCCTAATGTATTATTTGGGGGGGTGTTCCCCTCCAAGAGTGATCGTTCCCCACATTTCACCCAAAGAAAAACTACTCCCCCATGCAAAAACAAGGGGACAGTAAGCAAAAATGTGAGATCTTTCCCAACAAAACCATGCAAATGGAAACCATGGTCCCTTTTCACCGGGAAAAAAAGCAAAAACCAAAACGCTTCGAGGCGCTCCGAAGCCGCAGAGCCGCCCAGGCCCAGCGCGCCGTCCGGCGCCTCGCCCCAGGCCTCGGGCCGGTCCGATGGGGCGGGGTGTGGCGCGGGGGTGGGAGGCTTGGAAGACGTAGAATGAAAGGCCTAAGCCAAAGAGAATGGGGCTGAGCTACAAAACCAGATCTGTTTTTAAAGAAAATTCAGGAGTAAACAATGAAATTTGAGAAAGCGAGGGGTTTCTTCAATATACCCGACAACAGTGGTTGCGTTGTCCTCCAAGAGCCCTGCAATATTCCAAATGTCCTTTGGAATCGCAGGCCTTCTGCGAGCTCGATTGCTTTGCTGCCTCACAATGACGATTGTGAGACGGATCTTGAGCCAAATGGCATGTGCAAATCCTGGTATTTTCACCTGTGGTTCACAACCTATTCACACAATTTGGCTAAAATGGTTTGCGACTTATGGCAAGCACGGTGGAGGATTCCGCATTGCAGGTAGGGAACTCAGAAACATCCTGTACTTTTTGCCATGGTTGGTTGTCACTTCTTAGTCCCTGACTCTGTTCATTTCTGATTTTCAGAAACACGTGTGTATCTCCGAAATGGGGATCCGGCAAAAATGGTGGTTTTTCCTTTTGGATTCCCTTAAACTTTAATGCCACAGAAAAGGCGGACCGGACCTGCTCCAAAAAGGACACCCATTAAGCTGGAAAAGTGTTGATTCCCTTTAGCTAAGCTGTCACTGAAGTGTTGCTAGATTAAGGTGAGCGACTCTATAAACCTCCCATGAATTTCTATGTCGTATCAAGTTGCTTTCGCGCGAGCTTACGCTTTCCTTATGCGACCCATGTTTTAGCTTACGCCGTGCAGGATTTTGCTTACGCGCGATCGTTTTATGACACAACTCTTGCTTGGCATGTAACGGGGGGTTTTGAGAGCTGCTCAGGTGGAAATCATGTTTTCGAAATCAAAGTCAAAAATAGATGTGCTTTTTCTTTCCTACGGCTGGTTTTTTCCTTTGGCTGGTTTCTGTAGGGCTGGCAACATCCCCAGCATGACCAGCCTCACTTGGCCGGGGGGTTGCCTATTGGCTCTGATTGGGAGGCAGCGGGCTGGCTTAGATTTTCACGAGGGGTGGGTCTTGGGGTGGTTTGGGGTTGATTTAGGCGAAGCGAAGGGCTGACATCCAGGCTGCTGTTGGGCAGGTTTAGGCTTGGTCGAGCGTTGCCTTTAGAGTTGCTTGAGGAATATGGTTGCGTGAGTTGTGGGCTAGTTTTGTTGGTTTGGGGCAACGCTCCAAAACCGATCCTAAACGAGAAACTCACGTACGGTGAATTGACCCGAACGGTGATCAACAACTCGTAGACTTAGTGGGAAAACCAAACGCCAAGCATGATCGGGGAATGAGTGCGTCCCCTAAAAGTCTAACTCTTAGTGGTTTGGTGGAAACTATCACTAAACCCTAACACGTAAAACCAAAAATGGCCTGTCCTCAAGATTCCCCTGCTCAAAGTTTACCTTTTAGTGGGTTGAATGGAACCCCCACTTAATCCAAAAAAAACACCTAAAAGCCTAAGGGGATGGCTAGGAATCGCCCAGAAAACCCAAAGGGGACGGCTGGGAACCGCCAAGTCTCTTATCTTGTCGAACTAGAGAGCGTATGTCCCTGCCCCTTTGGGAGCACATGAAGCGCTCGTCAAAAAATAACGAAAATTTTGAGCTGACCAGGGTCAACACCTTCTGACCTAAAAGAACCCTCCTTTGCGCTAAACTGTCCAAGACCAAACGGTATGGTAGCAAAACATTTTGTTTTTGCAGCCCCGCCCACTAAACATGAGCAGAACTTCCTGCAAAACACCATGCCAATAGTGGAGCTACAGGTCCAAAGGGTGAAGAAGCTTTTCCTATGGCCGAATCACGGCGGCCGCTTGCCACAAACAAATCTCGGCGCAATCGTCGGCGTCTGAAAATTGAGTTCGTTTCGATACCGATCCAGTGGTCTGGTCAACAAGTCACCAAACTGTTGTTTGCCACTGAAATGGTCCAACCCTGCAAAGTGACTAAAGTCCATGAACTCAGGGAGTGAGTTGTCTTTTGTCCCCTTGGCCGAAACACATGAGGTACACCGAAACAGACCTGTTTCTGGTTCAGATTGATTCATAACGAATCGTTTTGGAGAAGACTTTAGCAAAAACAATCCTAAAACGGGGCACCTTCAAACAACCTGCATGTCATCCTCCCTATGTCTGATGGTTAAAAAATACTGCTGCTGAGTCTGTCTTTCTGGGCTTCACCCCAGACCTTAACTCACAACACTTCGGAAAGCGAATTCAACTTTGAAGCGCACCTGCTGTTCCCTTCGCGCACGCGAGACTGGCGCATGTTACAACAGACCCAGATTCAAGCGCAGTTGCTCTTCCACTTGGCTGCTGTCTCCGCCAGACTCTGCATGACCCCATGTCACAACAGCCCCAGATTCAAGAATGGCAGCAAAAGCACCCTCGGCCGTTGCTTGGATGTGCTGGACGTTCCTCAGCTGCTCTTGCACCTGGCTGCTGTCTCCGCCGCGTGCTGCATTGCCCCAGGTCACAACAGCCCCAGATTCAAGAATGGCAGCAAAAGCACCCTCGGCAGTTGCTTGGATGTGCTGGACGTTCCTCAGCTGCTCTTGCACCTGGCTGCTGTCTCCGCCGCGTGCTGCATTACCCCAGGTTACAACAGCCCCCGGTTCAAGAATGGCAGCAAAAGCACCCTCGGCAGTTGCTTGGATGTGCTGGACGTTCCTCAGCTGTTTTTGCACCTGGCTACTGTCTCCGCCCCAGTCTGCATCGCCCCAAGTCACAACAGCACCAGATTCAAGAATGGCAGCAAAAGCACCGTTAGTTGCTTGGATGCACTGCACAGTTTTCAGCAGCTCTTGCACCTGGCTGCTGTCTCCGCCCCATCCTGCATGACCCCAGGTCACAACAGCACCAGATTCCAGAATTGCCGCAAAAGCATGACGAGTTGCTGCAATGTGCTGGACGTTCCTCAGCTGCTCCTGCGCCTGGCTGCTGTCTCCGCCAAATTTTGGACCACCCCAGGTTACAACAGCCCCAGATGCAAGAATAGCAGCAAAAGCACCGGCAGTTGCTGAAATGCACTGGACATTCCTCAGCTGCTCTTGCACCTGACTGCTGTCTCCTCCCCGGCTCGCACGACCCCAGGTTACAACCTTCCCAGATTCAGGAATCGCAGCAAAAGCACCACCGGTAGTCGCTTGGATGCGCTGGACGTTCCTCAGCTGCTCTTGCACCTGGGTGCTGTCTCCGCCAAATTTTGGACCACCCCAGGTCACCACAGCCCCAGATTCAAGAATGGCAGCAAAAGCACCGGCAGTTGCTGACATGCGCTGGACATTCCTCAGCTGCTCCTGCGCCTGGCTGCTGTCTCCGCCAGACTCTGCATGACCCCAGGTCACAACAGCCCCAGATTCGAGAATGGCAGCAAAAGCGCCAACAGTTGACTGGATGTTCTGGACGTTCCTCAGCTGCTCTTGCACCTGGCTGCTGTCTCCGTCGAATTGCGGATCACCCCAGGCCACAACCTCACCCCAGTGGCCATGCAAAGCAAACGCCTGACAAGTGGCAGCCAGCTTGCCCAGCTGCACAACCGCATCCACTACGTCCCCATCTCGCAACCCGGCCTCGCTCAGGGTGTCCCTGAAATCGAGCTGCCGGCCTTTTGCAGTGAGCTTCAAGCGGCGCTGGAAATGCTGCTGCGCAGCAGCCGCAAGCTCGCTGATGGGCATCGCCGGAAAGACTTCTACGGAGCAACCATGTCCGCTGGGCAAGTGAACATCCACCTTCATGGCGCCGGTGGTTCTCCAGGCTCCATTCGAGTCGCACACGAATCTAGAGCACAAAAGATGCATGTAACTTGGGGGTGTCCTGTGTCCTGTGCCTGATGCATGTGTGTACAAAAGACACATTCTAAGATATCCATCGAGGGTGGCTTCCGAATGGAGTCTCTTAGTTCGGCAGAGTCTGTTTCATATGGCGTGTGTGTGTGTGTGGGTGTGTGGGTGTGTGTGTGTGTGGGTGCGTGCGTGCGTGCGTGCGTGCGTGCGTGCGTGCGTGCGTGCGTGCGTGGGTGGGTGGGTGGGTGGGTGTGGTGTGGTGTGTGTGTGTTTGTGTGTTTGTGTGTTTGTGTGTTTGTGTGTTTGTGTGTTTGTGTGTTTGTGTGTTTGTGTGTTTGTGTGTTTGTGTGTTTGTGTGTTTGTGTGTTTGTGTGTTTGTGTGTTTGTGTGTTTGTGTGTGTTTGTTTTGTGTGTGTTTGTGTGTTTGTGTGTTTTCTGTGTGTGTGTGTGTGGGTGCGTGCGTGCGTCGTGGCGTGCGTGCGTGGCTTGCGTGCGTGCGTGTGCGCGATGCGTGTGCGCGTGCTGTGCGCGTGTGCGCGCGCGCGCGTGTGCGCGTGCGCGTGTGCGCGCGCGCGCGTGGGCGCGTGTGTCGCGTAGTGCGCGTGTGCGCGTGTGCGTGTGGCGCGCCGCGCGGCGTGCGGCGCGCGTGCGTGCGCGCGCGCGCCGAGTGGTGTGTGGTGTGTGTGTTGTGTGTGTGTGGTGTGTGTGTGTGTGTGTGTGTGTGTGTGTGTGTGTGTGTGTGTGTGTGTGTGTGTGTGTGTGTGTGTGTGTGTGTGTGTGTGTGTGTGTGTGTGTGTGTGTGTGTGCGTGTTTGTGCGTGTTTGTGCGTGTTTGTGCGTGTTTGTGCGTGTTTGTGCGTATTTGTGCGTGTTTGTGGGCTTGTGGGCTTGTGTTGTGTGCTTGTGTGCTTGTGTGCTTGCGTGCTTGCGTGCTTGCGTGCTTGTGGGCTTGTGTGCTTGTGTGCTTGTGTGCTTGTGTGCTTGTGTGCTTGTGTGCTTGTGTGCTTGTGTGCTTGTGTGCTTGTGTGCTTGTGTGCTTGTGCGCTTGTGCGCTTGTGCGCTTGTGGGCTTGTGTGCTTGTGTGCTTGTGTGCTTGTGTGCTTGTGTGCTTGTCTGCTTGTGTGCTTGTGTGCTTGTGTGCTTGTGTGTTTGTGTGTTTGTGTGTTTGTGTGTGGGGGTCAGAATAGGGATTTCGACCCCCCAAAATGGTGCTCCATTTGGCTTCGCTTCAAACCAATACGGTTCATATTGAGTTTACCCTGAAATATCACGTAGTTCTGAAGGAGCCCCAGCCATTGTCGAATGAAAACAAAGAATCACCTCAAGGAGGGTCCCCTTTCCCCTTAGTACCACAGAACCATGTGTGTTATTTGAGTTGGTACCCCTTTTTGGTCTGCCTTAAAGGGACACCAAAGGGAAATCCAAATCCGTTTTGGGGGTCCAAATCCAAACACATACCCGAATAGGTCCCACCAAATTGTCCACTGCTGATGACTTTCATGTGTAAGAAGCCGGAGCTGCGCGAGGGTGACGGGGAAATTCGAGTGGCTACGTTGAGCAGAGGGCTGACCATTGCAGCTCCGCACCTCCCTAAGTGACGGCTGAATCGACACAGCGCGACTTGCATGTAACTTTGTTTCAAGGGCTTGCCCTCCTCAAATCCTGTTGAACACAATCTGTTGAACCCGAGAACCCTCCAATGCAAAGAGGGCACTGGCGAGCTGACCATCAGCCATTCGCGAAACCCAATGTTTCGCTCCCTTAGGGCCCTGACGCTGCCCTTGAGGGGAGGGGCGTCTGTAACAGCACAAAATGTCTGCATGCCCACCATGGTTTTCAACCATGAGAAACCCCATCGGAAAGAAAAACAACTTTGGGCGAGCCACCACCCCAGAGCCCTGTGTGTTGGCGAAACAAAAACAACACGAAACATCCAACCCCAGAGACCCGCTGTTGGAGCAAAGCAAAAACACACGCGAAAACTGACCTGGAGCTCTACCCTTTGTTGCCCCCAAACCTCCCCTCGCCGGTCCCTGGGCCCATCCCCCAAATCCCATAGCTTTCAGCTCTCAGGAAAAAAACTGCACACACACAAGCACGCTTTTCCCCAGGTCCACATGAGATTTCTGTTCTCATTGAGCTTGGGACACCTGCGTCGCCCCAGCCAAACTCTTCACTGACTCTTTCTTCTGCACAAACCTGTTGCCAAAAGCAACCTTATATCAATCTCTCGCGGGATTCTCGAGCTTCAGTCTCACAGAAAAATTGTAAATCCTAACATTCAGAAGTCACCCGTTCTCCTCTTGGAGCCAACCGACCAAAAAACTCGCGCGCGAAAACCACACACCTATCAGAGTAATGAGCTACCAACACGCGCACGCGAAAACCAAAAACCAAAACCCATCGAGAAACGCGCGCACGCAAAAACCGAAAACCTAGAGGAAATACCAACCAACACGCATGCGCAAAAACCAAAAACCCAAAAAAACCCTTGGAACCAACCAACACGCATGCACGAACACCCAAAACCAAAAACCGTGGAACCAGCACGCGCGCGCACAAAAACAGAAAACCCCCAAAAAAACAGAGTCTCCGGACCCACCGAAAAACGCACGCGCGAAAACCGAAATCCAAAAACCCTTGGAACCAACCAACGCGCGCGCGAAAACCGAAAACCCAACGAGCTCTGGGCGCATCGATCTCTCTCGGGCGCTTTTGGGGCGCCCAGCCATGAGCTCCCCGTGGGCCGTGAGGGCCATGCAGAAGCCGCTGCCGCAGGCCACCGCCACCACCTCAGCGGGAGGCCCAAGCCAAGGCGGTTCACTGTTGGCCCGAACTTTTTGGGAACGATGGTCTTGGAAATGGATTCTGGGATTTTGGGAGGTTTGAAGAGAACTTAAGGAATTTTGGTGTATTTTGGGGGATTCCTTTTAAAGGGAACTTGTGTTTTTCGGGGTATTTTAAGGGGATTCCTTTGGGATTTTGAGGGATTTTGCAGGAAACTGGAAAGATGGATGGTTTTTCTTGGGGTCCGAAGCTTAGCAAACCGCAGGACATGTATTTGTGTTTCAAGGGCTCAACATGTTCGGGGGCTTGGGAATGAACAGGAAAGGGGAATGGCTGCGAAAGTCAGAAATCGCAGCACGAAATGACACCATGGTTGCAACCGTAACGATTGTTGGTACTCACGTTATTAGGTCTGCATTCCGTACATCCACAGCAGGGGATGATCTTGCTTGGGGTCATTCCATGTCTCATTCCCTACCGAAAATTAGCAAGTAAAAAAGACATTGGGGTGCTTGTACAAACACCCAAACCACGTTGTTTTGTATGTATAACCTTGGGGACTCACAAAACAACCAAGAACCATTGGGCTGCATGAAAACGACTCCATGAAAAATATATGTATATACATATAGAGAGATATACACATACACATTAACAAAGAAATGACAGCTTCTGGCAAGGGTGTTGGTTTTAAAGGATGAAACAAGGGATAGCTTCTATTCCTTGTGCGCTTCTCCAATGGTACTGCGCCACAAGTTGCTCCTAAAGTTGCATGCCCCCAAGTAAGTGGGTCATCTCCGACTCTCAGACTATATGGCGGCTTGCAGGCCGTTTCTCCTTGAAATCAAGGGTGGCCCCAAACCAAAACTTCCACAACCATACTGAGGGACGTCGGGCAACCGGCAGAACAAGGAAAGTCACCCACTCAGGCAGTAACCAAAACTCGACAATTTCCTCATTTGCCAGCGTGTCAATACTTGGGATCCTTTTGAGAACATAGCAGCACAAGTTCAAGGCCTGGATTTGCTTGAGGGGTCTGCACAAAATACCAATTTTCCCTTAAACAACAAATGATGGGTATTTCCCAAGGAAACAACACGTCTTAGGAGCTTCCATGTTGGAGGGAGGGACTTCCAGTTTAATTCTGAAGTGTGTACTTACTACACGTTTCAGAGTGGGAAGGGCGAACCTAAGACCTTCAACATGGGCGAGCCCGTTTTGCTCGTGCTCGTCATACTTGGCGCAACAGGTATGCCATTTGAGTGCGAGTTTCAGTGAGACAAAGGTCATACTTTGCCCTTCAAAGATCACCTCTGCAAGGAAACTGGGCACAACAGTGCTAAACCAGTCGTTTCCAACTGGAACTCAGCTGCCCAAAGCATCATCAATATTCTGGAACCTGTACTAAAAGTGGACCAATAAAGGGCAAATCTGAAACCAAAAGGTCCAAAGAGAGAAACAAATCAGGAATCACAAACATGGCGCTTGAGGATTTGCAGGTTCGACTTGCTGGGAATGACCCGAACCATGCAACTGGCGGTTTCCGTCTCTTCGCGTGTGGATTGGCACCACTCAAATGGTCGTCCCAAGCATTGTAATGCCCCCGAGGTTCATTCCCAGCAAGAAGGTGCATCCCTCCTCAAAAAAAGTATCAACGTCTAAGATTTTGAGCTCTCTCTCCCTCTCCCCACCAAACATTTGATTGCGGGAAAAGGGTGGGACCTCTTGCGTTGGCTGAGGCCCCCTTACAAGACGTTGAATTTTAAATACAGGGGCGACAGAAAGCTCCTCACTTGTGGATTTTGCTTCCAGCCGCCTCCTTTCTGTTTTGCCAGCCCTACTTGGATGTTCAAAATACCTAAGTAGGTCATAACAATAGTTACACTTGAAGCGACCCCTGCCCCACTCCATTTGAAACTGGGGCTGGTGCCAAGGTTGACTGCAGGCTTGGCCTGCAGCGAAGAATGCAAAATCAACGCAAATCAAAGCGAGCCAAAATACAAACTCTTTTCCATACTCAAACTACACACTATCATGATATGTTCTTTAGTAAACCCAAAACAACCATCCAAAAACGTAAAGTATACCCCTTTATTCAAATATCATCAATCCTCACAAATTCGAATATCTCAATGGCTAATAACTTAATAAATCCAATCTTCTCCATGTAGAAAACCCCTCAACCCAAATGGTGGCTCAAAGCTCTCTATATTTTTCTGTGCTCCCATGTCCCCAAGCACTCAGCATCGCCAGCCCCAAGCAACTGATTGAGATTCAACTGCTTAGAGGCCTTTCCGGCTTCAGCCGTCGAACTTTCTGGGATCTCAGAGGTCTTGCAGCCGCCTCCCAATCTCTCCGGTCGTGGTGTCTCCCGCTTGGTTCACAATACGCGCCATACATTAGACTGCAGCTATCGCCACCGGGCCGCTGAGCATACAAAGCTCTTAAGCTCTGCACTGACTGTAGCGGATCCACAAGGGCACACCGAATGTACCACAAAGTAGACAGTCTTAAGCCAAACAAAACAGATTCTTCTTGTCCAGCGGCTTTTCCAGGCGGTACCTCTTCTCTTTCAGACCATAGCCTGCGCTGAAGCTGCTTCTTGTTCTGGTGATGCCGCCAGGCCACGAGAAATACGAGGCTTCTGAACTAGCGCATTCTGTTCGATGGCTTGCACCAAAGAGACCACTCCGAATAAGTGTTCTTGCACTGCTCTTCGTTGGCAGCAGGCCTGGCACCAATTGCACAAGGCACTTGTGCAAGTGCAATACTTCACCTTTTCAAGGAAGTTAGTTCGGCGATTTAACCCTTTGTTAACAGACACAAACCGTTTCCCGCAACATGTGCCCCAAAATTACCAAGATCAAAAACCCGAACCATATTCAAAGATCCAAAGAACTGTTTTCACACTTGTAACTTAGATATGTTTGAGCCTTAACAGACCAGAATCCGTGTCGATTCACACATCTGCTATATGTGGATAGTAGTGAGGGCAATAAATTTCCAGAATTTAAAACACCAATTTCAGTAAATTAGACGAAAACAAAAATTGAGAATGCGTGATATGCTTCCATCTTACTTCCCTGAAATATGATATGCACCGAGAGCCATCCAGAACCCCGTTAAAGGTCCACCAAGCTGTGGGGCAGACCGCCAAGCTGTGGCGTATGAAACTTGGCCCACAAACAACGGATACTGAAAACAATTGCTGGGATTCTGCTGACCGTTTTTGGCCTACGTACTCTAAACTACAACATCAGTTTTGGTTTTGGAGACCCAAAACAGGGTAGACAGACGGGTATTTGCTTTCGGGTAGTTCATCTTGAAGTCAGGAACCCTCTTCAGAAAGGAACCTTCGCCATGCACCTTTTCATTGCTCAAGTCAGAAAGTCGCAGCCCTTAAGTAGCAGTGAAGTGCGGGCAGTGCGCTTCCTCAACTCCAGCTGTCAAGTCGCAACGTCTCATCACAGGGGTAGTACATGACACGCACTTCCGCAGTTCCGCTGGAAAGCCGCAACTGTTCAAAAGATCCGCGAAAGTCCGCGCGAAAGCGCAGGCTTCGATTGCAAGGGGAGAGGTACTTTCTGAGGGGCTCGTTAGTCAGTGTATTAGCTTGGTACTGAAAAGTTGCGACTTCAAGCTGGAGCTGCGCGGCTTACCTGCCGGAACTACTTCGCATTTCGCGCACTACTTGCGGAACTTTCGCGAAAAATCACGCACGTTTCAGAGCGTGAAGCCACCGACTAACACCCACAGACACACACGAACACACTTGGAGCACTAACCAGCCAAGCAGGGTATCAAACTGTAGCCTCACCAGGCTTTATCAGCGCCAAAAAACAAACATGTTCTAATCAGCTTAGAAGAAGGCTCAGAAGAAAAGATGAATGGTTTCACAGACCACTGATTTACAAGATACAGTTACATAAAACTTTCGCGGAAAACCACAGACAACTCCATGGCGAATCTTTGCGGAGCTACCTCAACCAACACCGATGGTCACCGAATACTGGACTCCTTACAAGGACCTTTAGAACGACTCCCATATATATATATATATACACGAGTAAACAAACATTCTCTCCCGAACCCCCCTTGTTATTCCCCGATGGCTTATAGCATGTTCATGCGGTTTTCAGGAAAAAACCGTTAAGGGAGCCAAACGACATTCTTGCTCGCTTGGAACCGTCAGACCTAGAGAGGAAGCGGACGCCCTTCTTTAGGCTGGATGATTTTGAAGGGACTCCCGGACTCCCGCCCTCCCGGGAAGGAAGGGCACCTTTGGAGGTCTAAACCCAGGACTGTGGCCAGTTTTGAAGTCTTCAGATTCAACTGCGAAATGTAACACAATGTTACCCGTGCATGATTTAGTGCACTTTTCAATCCCAGCACATTCTGATGATTCTGGAATTCAGGCCCTGATACCTAGCCCCCCAAAAAGAAACCCTCGCGGGTGTCTCGGGGTTTGAGAGCTCCCCTGTCGGAGCGTTTGCAAATGAACCTGAAAGGAAACTAACCCATGTTTGATGTCACTACCGGGAACCCTTGATAATTCAATAGCTATTTATTGATAGCGGGGTTCCTGGGTTTAGTTGGGAATCATCACTGTTGAAGAGCCCAACCCTCCCCAACAGGTTTATCAATCTGGGTTGACCTTATTCGAGTGTCTTTCAATCAAGGGATCCCCCCAACAAAAGAAGAAAATTGAAGCCCTTTAATGTTACACCTCCTTTATAAATAGCACCCTCTATTATAGCAAGTGATTTTGTAATTCAGGATCTTGTGACTGTTTTGGGTGTTTTTTAATTCCAGCATGTTTCCCCCGAAAAAATAAATAAAAAAAAAATCTTTTTTCTCTCCTGATGTTGTCTGGCTCAGGCTGGACTAAGCCTCCGAAAACAGATGGGCCAAACAAACTTGGCAAAGAAGTCGAGCAAGAAAAACGAGCAAACAAATCCGGGCAAACATGAGGATTTTTGAAGTGGTCCCCAAACCATCAAATTTTAGATAACTTCCTTGCAAAAAAGTGCGGGCAAACAGTCGCACAAAGGGGGTTGCCCACAAGGGGCCCTGATCCTCTTTAATGTGACTGGTTTGGGGTCCCCTTTAGTGTGTAACCTTCTTGGGGGTGGCTGAAAAAAACGGTCCTTGGCAATACACAAGTAGAATTGGCACTACTAAAGTTAGTACTGGGAAGCTGAGAGGCAACACTAAAGTAGAATTGGCAATACTTAGGTACTGGGAATCTGAGCGTCAGCCTTGGCAATACTTGCCCTGAAGACCACACACACACACCTGCTGGATTTAGGTGTCAGCTTGTGATGCTACACCGACTCGAAAACATGTACCTGAATATGCTCTACAATAGGTGACCTTTTGGCAGGAAATACATGGGTGCCCCCGGTAAATGGGTAACAAAAACCCATCTAAACCAGTGCAAATCATCCATTTCCAACCCCACTCGCCGATCAAAAGGACACCAGCTGTGGAAGACATTCTGCACCACCTAAAAAACCCTGGAATGTGTCGATTCCCCAACGTAAATATCAAAAGACGTTCCGCTTGCAACCCTGGTTTCATTTCCTGGGGCGATTGCTAGATTTCGCTATCCACGGTTCCCTAAGTCTCACTTCTGGAATGGATTGACCAACAAAAGTAATCCAACTTCTTGTTTACCACAGTCTTCCCAAAAAGTAACCAAAGTCCAGGAACTCAGTGGGGTGTAGTAGATTGCAAGCCACAGTTGGCCGGATACTTGACAAAGGATCCCACCAATTGACACGGAACATGACGGTTGGGGGATCCTGAAAGACCGATCTTTCCCCCCGAACGTCAGGTTCCACGTGAAAAGGGTGGGAGGGTCTCCAAACTGTTTGCCAAACATGATTGGCCATGTTTGGGTATGCCTGATTCTTGCAGAGGAGAATCCATAGACCTATCTATAAGCCCTGTGTAAGGCTGGATTTTGGGGTGTGTACCGATGGTTTTTGTGCAATGTGTGCAACCCATGTGAGTCTTGCAGAAGTACTTCAGGAGACAAAGCCCTATGTGTCCATCACCCCCCCCCCCCCCGGCGAAAAATACAAAAACAAAAAATGGCAACGGTGTCCTGTTTGCCAGTTTGCCCTCATGGTTTGTTCATCATCAAGGTCACCCGGCAAGCGAAGCCCTATGTAAGGTTGGATTTTTGGGTGTGTACCGTTGATCTTTTTGTGCAACCCATGTGTGCAACCCGTGTGAACCATGTAAAGAATTTGGAAGGCGGCCGCAGCTATTTCTGGTTGGGATCGTCCTTTACTAACCTTCATCTACCCGGGTTTTGATTGACTCTGTGATTCTTGCAGAGTACTTCAAGATACAAACTAGGTCCGCCAGTAGAAAGCTTAGTTTTTTTTTAGTAGACGAAACCCTCCCATAGTCATCAAGGTCACCCGGCAAGCGGAGGATTCAGCGAGCTCGTTGAGAGGCCCGAGGCTCTGGCCAGGGCACCCACGCGGGGCAGGCCATCGGGGCGCTGCCCTTTTGGCCGTCCCCGCCGTCCCCGTACCAGGCCTAGCCCGGGAAATCGGAAACGCCCCGGAAACCGCCGAGAAAAACCGGGGGGGGGGGGGACGAGGCTTGGGGCGGTCCGTTTTACTGATCTGCTGAAAGTTGGGGGGGGGGGGGGGTTGGATAGAAACCAGTTGATGTGCGAATAACTTTTGGTGAAATGGAAGCCACTCAACTAACTGAAAACCTGAAAGCCTAATGCACGAAGAATTGGAGAAAACCAAGAATCACTGGATACCCATCGATGTCCAAGTGTACTTGATTGGTTTCAATTGAGTTAAACTAGGGAGAGGGAGAAAACATGTCAAAGTGGTCCCGCTGCAAAGGTAAGTCGGTCGTAGCCGGGGCGTTCTTCAGTGTGGACAGGGTTGGCTGTCTCAAAACTGTAGTTGTAACCTGCTGTACGAATTGCATAGTTTGAACAAGCCCCCCCACCCGCTTTGATGCTCCACATTGGCCCGTAAGACAACCCCAACACGGGCTTCGCACGGTTCCTCCTTAAACGTCACCCCACGACGAGGATAATTTTAGCAGGGTCGCCTCAAACGCCTTTGCATGCAAGGCATCGAAAAGACCAAAACTGGAAGAGTGTGCGGGCAGGGGGGGGGGGGGGGTAGAAGCGATGTTCTGCGAAGAGGAGGTGCTGGGAAGAGAAGTCTGGCAAAGCCAAACGGAAATGCCATAGAGAAAAACAAAAAAACACCTTCCGAGTTGGCAAGTGTAAATGGTAAGACGTGAGATGCATTGGATGCAGCTGGGGTGTCCGCTTTGTTGGTGGGTAGGACCATTCCCCAATAACCAGTACGATTCGGGGATCTTAAAAGGACCTTGGCCTATTCAGCATTGTTTGGTCTTATGCCAAGTGAAGTCACTAATTAGTGCCATCTTCCCTTCATGATGCCTGTCTGGTGTGGACCCAGAAAACGCAATGGTAGCACCACATGGTTCTCTTCTGACCATGACTGTCGCCGTGAGTCTTCGAAGTTCCTGTAAAGGCGTCACGGCTGCGAAGGCCAAGTGTTCCAGCACCTTGAGTTGAGAGTTGTGAAGTTGAGGCGCAGAGGGATCCAGGGATGCAGCAAGGAATCGGAAGTTGACCCGCGGCAGTGTCTATGGCTATGAATTTAAATTGGGGACACTTTGAAAAATGGTTGGTGGACATATGTGGACATGAACCCCTACCGAAATGATGTCCACCAAAGGGTCCCCAAAGGGTCCTCGGTTACAAATCGTATCCACCCCGCTTGAGGTGTATGTTTTTTTTTCCTGGGGGGCCTTGCTGAGCCCCATCTTGCTGGAACGCAATAAGCCAACGATGTGCGAATTTGAACCTCATTTTGACCTGATGACTCGCCTTTTTCGGGATCCATGTTGATCTGACGAGTTGCTTGGAATCATGTCTTCAGGCGATAGAACATGGAGACCAAGGTCAGGCGCTGGCGAAACTCGGCGGCAAGTTCCCATGCGAGAAGGCGTCAAACCATTCTCTTGAACCGGAGGGTCCATCTGAGCGGCCGTTTTCGCCCGTATTCCTCCCTTCAAAGCGGCCTTGTTCCTCAGTTGTTCAGTGACCCTGGAAAAAAACGAAACCCATTTTTGGCAAGACCATTTTAGTGGGGCAGCCACCAAAAAAAAAAGGAAAAAGGGGGCCACTGAACAACTGAGGTTCCGTAACAAACAAAAGGAATGTTCCGATCAAGTACCTAGACCTTGCAGACTTCAAGACAAATCAAGTCGAGGTTCAGAGGTCACTTGCAACGTCATCCCTTGGCATGGCCATGGGAATCTAGGGACATGGCCATGTATAGATTTGCAGCATCTCTTCTAGCAACAAACTAGGCCCACCGCAGATGTAGGCCAAGATTTTAGGCCCACTAAATCTGCAATAGAACCGGAAAGTACTGGTTTGGTCCATTGGGGTATCCTGCCATGAGCTTGTGTAACTAGGCTCCACAACAGTATCCACCCGTCGGAAATGAGAGTGTCTCGGAGCTCAGTACTTGCAGAGATGTCAAGAGTATGGTCACCCTTCTTGGGAGACCGGTCTCATGTTGGAGCATTTAAGCTTCTTTTTGGGTACGAAGAGGGGTCCCTTTTGACAACATGCAACATGTGTCAAAGTGGGTCCTGGATGTTCCGGGCCCCACAAAAAGAATGATCTTCCTTTTGGGGGGGGTTTCCCCAATCACACACATGCAAACATTTTCAAAGTGGGTCTCGGGACCCCCACAGAATGAACTTCCTTTTTGGGGGTTTCCCTGTTCCACTTATGGAACACATCCCCTCCACACAACGGTCCGTACCCAGTCCCCGCCGGCTCGCCGGCTCGCCTGCGAGGAGAACACGTCGCCGCTGTCCATCAGCGCAATGGCTGCGATGCGATACCTCCGGACCGGAGACGGGGAGCGTGGGACCATGGCCACTGTGGGTTTACTTGTTGGCGGGCACCCTTTTCCTGTTGGTTTGAAGGAAAACCATGAAAACCCAAAAGGAACACCCACCGTTTGCATGTTGGTTTGAAGGAAAGATACCAATTGCAGGGTATTGCTATTTTGACACGTGCATACCCCCATTTTGTCCCAGGACGGTGGTTTGCGCGCATGGCTGTGAGAAGCGGGAGGCCAACGGGTGAAATTTTGGGAGAACGGATTCCTGATCAAGGTCTCTGAGTGAAATTTGAGCCCAAGCAAGTTTCAAGTCTTCGACTGTTTTTGCACGCTGTAGTGACTCAGCCATGAAACCAATGGGTTTGCAGTTTCCCCATTTTGACACACACACACACACACGGAGACACAAACACGACCGAAGCACTCGTGTGGTATGGGCGCATTCTGTGGCTCCGGAGGTCACTCGACGGCCCAAGGGCCACGGTCCAGTCTCACCAGGTTCTCTGAAAGGCAAAGCACACCCTGCAAAACGAGTTCCTCCAGTAGAGAGGCTAAACATTTGTTGTGGTCTATCTTAGTAGGGGGACCTTCCTTCCAAGAAAGTAAAAGGGCACTATGGGGGACGTAGAAAAACACCAACCTTGCCCTTTCCGCGATTTCGTTGAGGTCCATGCTTGAGTGGCGACTCGTCTAAATCAATCCACAGGAAGCTCTTCACATAACTTCCCACCTCGCCCCACCAGCCAGTCCAACTTTAAGCCCAAGACAGGGAGGCACAAAGAAGCCGCCTTTCTCCAAGAAGGTCCTTTTAAAGGAACCTCTTTTTTGGGGGAAGCCAGGAACCACCCCCTTTTTCGGGGACCCGGAACCTCCTTTTTCGGGGGACCAGGGACTAGGGACCTCCCAATTGTTGAGGGGGGGACCGCCTTTTCGAGGCCCATGTGGGTATGGGTCAAAATTGAACCACCAGGAATTGGACCGCAGGTTTTAGTCTTTGGTTCCAGTTACCAGGGCAGGCCATTCTAGGGTTACCCTGTTTTGACCCACAGCCTTTCTTCAGGAACCTCCCTTTTTCGGGAACCATGAACCTTTTCGGGGGACCAGGGACCTCCCATTTTTGGGGGGGCCGCCTTTTTGAGTCCCATGTCCATTCTCGGCTTCTCGGCTCGCTTCTCGGCGCCCCTACGAAGACTTCCGCGAGAAGCCGCCCAATGCCTCGAGCGAGGTCGAACGAACGAACGAAGCCTGGGAGGCTCAGCCGCAAGAGACCCAACTGACCTTGGTATCTTGGAACCATCATTTCGTTTTTTGGGTATCTTATCTTGTTGCCTTGGTTTTCGTTTTTGAGTTTCCATCATTTCCTGGAACCTGCAACAACCATCTACCTAGAGTCTCCATGACTCAAAAAAATGGGTCCATCACCCATTAATTTTGGGTGATGACCCATTCTTTGAGGGTCATGGAGACTCCAGGCAGAGCCATCTTCACCAAACTTGACTTCGGAAGCTGCGCCGTTTTTGGCCCAAGAGCTTTCGGTGGATTCAGTGGATGCTTCGCAGCAGTTTCTTGCCGCTTTTGAAGGAAAATGGTCTTCCAGGATCTCTCAGTCAGCTTCCACGTTGGTGGGCAGGAGGGTAAGCTGCTTGAACATCCAAGTATGTGGGGTAAGTGGGAACCAACCCAAAGAGGACCTTCAGCTGACCCGCAAAGTATCCGGCCCATGCGGATGGGCAAAATGCACGTCACCAGTTGGTATTTGTAGTTGATCAACCAGTGTTCAAAGGGCATCATCCATCCCAGCTGGTGCAGGATTTTGACCATCCACTGCATTGGTGGTCTAAGGGCTATAGACACCTTAAGATAATCCTAAAAGACGAGAGTGGGAACAATTCTACAGTGGTCCGATAATGATTGCCTTTTCACCCAAAAGTAGAGGCCCTAGAAAGATCTCCTAAGTTGAGATGAACATTTTCTGGGTTTGAAAAAGCCGGACACGGTTGGCTCGATTCACCCTCAGCTCGTTGTGAATAGTCCAAACTTTCATCCTGGTGGTGTAATTACTCACTTGCCCAAAGAACCCAGAAATACAAGGTTAACCTTTTGGGGCCATGACTAAAACTAGACCAAAAAGGAAAAACCAAAAGGTCAAAAGGTTGGCTTTGGGCAACTGAGATTACCTACGTGGATTGTGGTTGAATTCTCGGTTCGCTCGCTCAGGTCGTTTCCACTTCTATGATTTCCATGAGATGAAGCAGAAATCGTGCTGCTCCAGCTAAATGCTGATTTGTGGAATGAATGAGTCGCCCTCTGGGATGCCTTTCAGGTTTTAAGACCAGGCGCAAGTCTCTGGGTGCTCTGTTCATGACATGAACCCCCAACATAGCTTGTGAAGGTACCGGACTGATAGAATTCTCAGAATGCATGCGCGCAAGGACCATGTTGCTAGCGAGTCCGTCTTGTTGGGCAGTTCTACACCCAATAAACAACTTACAAACGAGAGCAACTGAAGCAACTCAACCAAATCAATCTAAGAAACTGGAGTAGGATATCCCCTTGAAATCCAAGTGGGTTCAATCACTCCCTCCAACTACAACACAAAACATTCACCTACTGCACTGGCTCTCGGATTTCTAGCTTACCTCTCCCATATTTCCCCAATCAAAGGTCTAGGCCCCGGACCACGTCGCGGAGCTGCAAGTGCTGACCTGCCTGAAAGAGACATCCAAATGGATTGTTCCAAGCCCCCGAGCAATTTTCCCAGATTCGGTCAAGCCAAAGCCACAGCCAGGATGTTCAACATTAGGCTACAAACAGGACTATAAGTGGCTGCTTGAAGTTCAACTATAGTTATAACTATATTTCCCGAGTAGTTTGAACATCCAGGCAAGTGGCTTCACCCATGGTTTCCCTTTAGACCCACTTCAAAAAGTGTACCCTGAAACCAACCATGCATTGTGGCCGCAGCTGTGTTGGGCCAGACTATGTGGGTAGGTGTCTTTGTTGAGGACACCCTTGAGTTGGGGGCTTCCCCAATTAAGACAACCCATGTCCGACGGAAGGCTCCCTCAAAAGCTGCAATCCCCGGGTGAGCCCGAGGAGCCCGTCTCCCGAGTCTTTGCTCTCGACGGGTTCCGGCGTGCGCTTGATTCTGGTCCATGTTTTAAGTACTGTCAGATTTGGGGCTTCACTTGGTTGACGCTGGAAGGGGAGCACAAAAAAAGCTGTTGAGTGGGGATTTCCCACTAAACCACAATAAGCAAACATGTAAACCGTTTCCCAACAACGACCATGCCATGTTTAAAGTACTTCCAGATTTGGGGCTTCACTTGGTTGACGTTGGAAGGAGAGCAAAAAAAAGCTGTTGAGTGGGGATTTCCCACTAAACCACAATAAGCAAACATGTAAAACGTTTCCCAACAACGACCATGCCATGTTTAAAGTACTTCCAGATTTGGGGCTTCACTTGGTTGACGTTGGAAGGGGAGCAAAAAAAAGCTGTTGAGTGGGGATTTCCCACTAAACCACAATAAGCAAACATGTAAAACGTTTCCCAACAACGACCATGCCATGTTTAAAGTACTTCCAGATTTGGGGCTTCACTTGGTTGACGTTGGAAGGGGAGCAAAAAAAAAGCTGTTGAGTGGGGATTTCCCACTAAACCACAATAAGCAAACATGTAAAACGTTTCCCAACAACGACCATGCCATGTTTAAAGTACTTCCAGATTTGGGGCTTCACTTGGTTGACGTTGGAAGGGGAGCAAAAAAAAAGCTGTTGAGTGGGGATTTCCCACTAAACCACAATAAGCAAACATGTAAAACGTTTCCCAACAACGACCATGCCATGTTTAAAGTACTTCCAGATTTGGGGCTTCACTTGGTTGACGTTGGAAGGGGAGCAAAACAAAAAGCTGTTGAGTGGGGATTTCCCACTAAACCACAATAAGCAAACATGTAAACCCTTCCCAACAACGACCATGCCATGTTTAAAGTACTTCCAGATTTGGGGCTTCACTTGGTTGACGTTGGAAGGGGAGCAAAAAAAAAGGCTGTTGAGTGGGAATTTCCCACTAAACCACAATAAGCAAACATGTAAAACGTTTCCCAACAACGACCATGCCATGTTTAAAGTACTTCCAGATTTGGGGCTTCACTTGGTTGACGTTGGAAGGGGAGCAAAAAAAGTTGTTGAGTGGGGATTTCCCACTAGACCACAATAAGCAAACATGTAAAACGTTTCCAAACAACGACCATGCCATGTTTAAAGTACTTCCAGATTTGGGGCTTCACTTGGTTGACGTTGGAAGGGGAGCAAAACAAAAAGCTGTTGAGTGGGGATTTCCCACTAAACCACAATAAGCAAACATGTAAACCGTTTCCCAACAACGACCATGCCATGTTTAAAGTACTTCCAGATTTGGGGCTTCACTTGGTTGACGTTGGAAGGGGAGAAAAAAAACAGCTGTTGAGTGGGATTTTCCCACTAAACCACAATAAGCAAACATGTAAAACGTTTCCCAACAACGACCATGCCATGTTTAAAGTACTTCCAGATTTGGGGCTTCACTTGGTTGACGTTGGAAGGGGAGCAAAAAAAAAAGCTGTTGAGTGGGGATTTCCCACTAAACCACAATAAGCAAACATGTAAACCGTTTCCCAACAACGACCATGCCATGTTTAAAGTACTTCCAGATTTGGGGCTTGAGCTTGGCATCCATGAGGCAAGCATTGCTGTCCAAGAAGGACAACCTGAATCCAGGAGATAGGTGGTGGGAAGCTCACTGCTCAGACAAGGGTCTACCCAAATTCAAGACAACCCACCCAAACAGGGATCTCCCCACAAGCAGTTTTAGTCTTCAGGCCAGGACTGGACAAGCCTTGTGTCGAGTCCTTGGATCGAACAGGGACGTTAGCCTCTCCACCCCGGGCAAAATCAAGGGTGTGGACTTTAAATTATTCCACTCAGATGCTCAGTGGTCATGGCAAAAAAGGGCATCCTTTTTGGGTTGGTCGACTTTAAAGGGGATCCCTTCCCCAGCAAACAAGTGGAAAAAAAGGAGCAACCCACTGGGCAACTGGGTCCAGGAGGTCCTTGGAAATCTCGTTCCAACTCCTCGCGACTCAAAAGGCGGACCCTGGACCCGTCGACACCGGCCTCGTCTTTGAGCATGGACAGCGACCACTCCATGGCAAAGCCCCGTGTCTCAGCGGGCGACTCGACTCGACTCGACCGACGAAAAAAAGAAAAGAACAAAAAAGCGCGCACGCATGCTCATGCGCGGGCGCCGGGCCCCGGCACACCGAAAAACGGGACCAGGAGCCCCTTTCGACACCTTCCAAAGCGAACACACCCCGCGACCCCTGAAGTATGACATCCTCTTGGAGATCACGAAATGCCTGTAGTCTAAGACGTCTTACAGGCTGCGAACGCACGTGAACGAGCTAGTTAGCGGCTGGCTGCATCCTCCAAACACATTCTGACAGCGGCAGGCTGATTCTCCGCAGCTGCTTCATGACATGCGTCTTCTTGACCCACTTTGTCCTGCGCCGCCAGTGTTCGCCAGCTCATGGGTATACCGAACCTATTTGTGATCAAACGTCCTTGGCTGTGTGTGAACATGGGGAAACCTTCCTTTGCCTTGTCCAAGAAACCAAGGTATAAAGGGTAGCCTCAACGAAAAACGCACACACGGGCACTCTCACCAAGCGATGTCTTAAGCGGTCAGCGAGGGCAAGCGCCTCTTTACCCACCCACTAGAAAAAAGCTGCAAGGCTCATATCTTGGTTGGGGATTTTCCACTAAACCACAATAAGCAACAATGAAAGTTGTTTCCCAACAACAATCATGACATGGGATTGCGGGGGTACCTGGAGATGAAACTTCCATTTCTCGGACTTCCTAGGGTCCACTAAAGATGGTGCGACCAAAATGGCCATGGGTCAAAAGCCCGACCCCCGGTGAACATCCCAATCCCGACCAAACTGGACCTAAAATGGGTGGTGCACCTACCCCAAAATGGGATCCCATTGGTTTTGACCCGCAAATGGTGTCCAGAAGGTCAACCTTGGCCAGAGACTTCCAGGCTATTGACGCCATGGGACTCGGGTCTTGCGACTGAGTCG